AATATATCACAACTGAATCACCCAGCTCAGAATGGTTAATAAAGCAGGATGATTTAATGAATTCATCAAATTTCGGTAGACCCCCTCCTCAGCTGAATACTCTACACACACACGGATACAAATATACTTTTGAAATTACATTCGGAGATATAAGACACTGATAAGTAAACAAACTACATTGAATAATTAGTCATGCAGAAAGACAGATGTGAATGTTTTCCAGGTCATGTTCAAATAGATAAAGGGGGAGAGGGAGCATGAGAGATGAAAATTCAGATAAATTGCATTACACCTTGATTACATCACTTAGATAAACAATTAGACATTAAGGAATATAACAAGAATTGCAAACACAGTAATGTCAGTAGTAATAGTAGCAATAATAATAGTGCTGAAGTGAGTTAAGATAATCCTACTGATAAAAGATAGTTTTAAATGAATCAAGAATAATAAGTAAAACGTATTACCATGGTAGATTCAGAGTGGCAACCATCTCCTTTTGTACACAGAAACCACCAGGTTTATAAACTCGAATTGCACAAGCCTCTGCAATTACAAGCATCTTCTTGTTTCTTTGTTTACTGGTAATTCTTCTTCTTATTATTATTGTTATTATTATTATTATCATTATTATTATTCTTGATTCATTTAAAACTATCTTTTATCAGTAAGATTATCTTAACTCACTTCAACACTATTAAAATTGTTATTATAACTATTACTATTGATATTAGTCTGTTTGCAATTCTCGTTATATTCTCTAATGACTAATTGTTTATCTAAGTGATGTAATTGAAGCGTAATGCAATTTATCTGAATTTTGATCTCTCATAATCCCTCCATCCCTTTATCTATTTGAACATGACCTGGAAAACATTCACATCTGTCTTTCTGCATGACTAATTATTCAATGTAGTTTGTTTACTTATCAGTGTCTTATATCTCCGAATGTAATTTCAAAAGTATATTTGTATCCGTGTATGTAGAGTATTCAGCTGAGGAGAGGGTCTACCGAAATTTGATGAATTCATTAAATCCTGCTTTATTAACCTGCTTTGTTGCTTGTTTTAAATTCGTATCGGGAAATAAATGTTTTCAACTCAGAAAGCCCGTAAATATTAAAACTATCCACCTGTGCAACAAATATTTTTTTTGTTAACAAGTGGTTTTCTATGGGGTGGTTTAATCACGGATTGATGACATCAGTCAGAGAACCATTGAAAACCATCAATGAGTACTGGACAGTAAAACCCTTTCGTCCTAGTTTGAGACTCATCAACAATTCACAAAGTGATACAAGTTAGAATTCACAGGCCACCGAGTCAACTCCCAGTGGCTAAATGGTCTACCATTTTACCTTATAACCGAAAAGCCCTGCATTTGAACTAGTATGTCTGCCTGTCTGTCTGTTTTCGACATAGAACTTTGCACAAATATGCGGAAGTTCAAGTCGCCACATTCCGTGTAGCACGCGAAGCAAGAGAAGAAAGTACAAGAAAAGCATAATAGAAACAGTGAGCAGAGGTGTGAGACAAAGGAGGAGTAATAACGAAGAACAAAACAGTTTCATTGAAGATCATAAGTCACAGGGAGTGGATGCATCTGCGCCACTGTACTGCCAATGATTCCCAAAGTAGGCTGACGAAACAGCTGGCTGACCAGTAAGTACTCCAGTATATTACCTTTCAATGGTTCTCTAATTGAAATATTTCTGTGCTATTATTCGAAAATTTAGATTTGATTATTTTAATAACATAACTAAAGAATTTCTAAATAAACGAAATGTATCCTGATTATTATAATGAATGAGATGTCAGAGCTTATCAACTCGTCTTAAGCGCGCACACACACACACATACACACAGTCATATACAGATGACTTACAAATAAAAAAAGAAAACCTTTAAATAAGTTAAATTCACATGAGAATCACTTTCAAAATGATGAATTGTTTAAACAAGTAGTAAAAATACTTGAAATTCTTTTAGTCGATTCCGATGATTAGTCATTTTAATCGAGTAACTGACTAACCAAATAATTAACTAACTAAATAAATAAATATCTGTACACATACATACTTCAATCATTCTCTAACTAACAAGGTTGGTTTCATGACGAAATCTATAGTCCCCATTGGAATGATAATTTCCGGCAGATTAGTAGCTGTTGAATAGATTAGAAGTCTTCACTGGTGAGCTACACAAACTCACTCCATGGGAAGTGGATATACATTAATGTCCGTCTGTCTGTCTGTTTTCGACATAGAACAACTTTGCACCCATATGCACCAGTTCAAGTCGCCACACTCCGTGTAGCACGCGAAGCAAGAGAAGAAAATACAAGAAAAGCATAATAGAAACAGTGAGCAGAGATGTGAGACAAAGGAGGAGTAATAAAGAAGAACAAAACAGTTTCATTGGAAATCATAAGTCAGAAGGAGTGGATGCATCTCCGCCAGCCATTGAGAACGATTTTGAACCAGCCATATCACCAATTGTTTCCAACCGTTGGTTTTTACCGTCCCGAGGACACCAACCAGTCAGGAAGTCTACACCTTTCTACGTGACTGGTTTAAACTAGCTGTTGTGGATTTCATTGACTGGTGCCGCCATGTTTTAATTCGACCTCCGCTAGCTCTTTTCCCTATGTCAGCTAACATCACCCATCAATCAAGGAAGGCGATGACTAGGCATGCCAACGTAACACATGTCCTAACCATATCAGTCGATGTAGCTTCACAGCCTTGTCGATTGATTTCCCCTCCATAGCTTACCTAGCACTCGACGCCTAACCTCATTAATGTAAGAAGATAAAATTCACAGGCCATAATTATATATGTCTCATAAGGCGAAGGCCTTGAATTCAATTCCTGGTGGACTACTACTTACTCATGGATGCATTGTCCTAAAGAGTCTGATAAAAACTGGGATAAAACAACTGTCTTGCTCTTTAACTGAGGTCAGTCAGTCAGTTCATGATGAAATATAATACATTGTAAATAAATCAACTCACTGACTACCAGTTTTCTTTAGACATTTTTTCGTATTTATTTCATTATATTAGTTCTTTACATTCAAAACGGATCTTTTAAGTTCCGATAGCAGTCATTTTTTAAATTTTATTTTAACGGTGTAGGGTTGCTAATCTGACACTAGCCCCACCTTTCCGTCTTTACCGGCTTTCCTAACGGCTTAGAGAGGTATTACAGGGGTTCATAGGCCGGGAATCGCATCCCGGACGTGAGGCGTGGTTGGCAAGCATTCTAACGCCGAACCAGCGACGTCGCCCGTTCGAAAATTAATTTCTGAAAAGAAGGGACATGATATAGTGGCCCAAGCAATTGACTTTCAACATGTGGATCCTATGTTCAAATCCTAAAGCATCTACTACTTGAACCAAAACAGCAAATGGTTGGTTATCACATTATCAGCCACATAATAAGTGTAAAAAGACCTATTCCAAGTACTGGGTTCAAATGAACAAAATTTTTCAGGAGAGGAATAAAATTATTCACATATACAATTCTCTAGTTTGATTGGAGCCTACTTAGCAACTAGTTTAATGTGTGTGTGTGTGTGTGTATATAGTCCTATCTTTGGTGCAGACTGAATTCTATCAGTCAAGTTTGCAAGGTGGACACCATACCACTCTAGGTGCCCCTCCATCACGGTACACTTTGAATTGTTGATATTAGATGGTTGAAGGCAATCGTCATGAAGCCGTGGACTTCAGCTTTGTGCTTATTGCCACTCACCAATCAGCAAAGAACTCATGTCCCTTCTGAAATTCGAACCTGCGTCACCACCCAATGCTGTAGTCGGAATTTAGTCTACACCAAAGATAGCACAAAACACACACACTAAACTGGTTACTGACTAGTGTTCAATCGAAAATATCCAAAACATTCCTACAGGAGGTCAATTGCAAGCCTGAATAGCTCAGCCGCAACGTCTCTGACTTCATGCGGCGCTCGGTGACGCGGGTTCGAATCTCAGAAGGGACATGAATTCCGTCAAGGTTGTAGATACGACTTGTTGGTTGACTGATGACTGCCAACTAGCACGAAACCTAGATTTTGTTGAGGCTTCCACCTGCTGCTGATTACCTCCAACCATCTAATATAACAATACCCTGCATTCAGTTACAGGGTGATAATTAAACTGCGTCAACTTGACAAGAATTTCATATTAAATGCTGGGAAGAAAATTCCCAGCACAGATAGATGTTACCTTTCTCTGTCGTGTTGAATATTTTCACAATGAATATACCACTGAAGCTATTTGGTGTCTAGTGAAGCTTAAAATGAACACTTCTCAATTAAATTATCAAGCACACAGAATCTATCAACACTCAAAAAGTGTGTTACTGATAAATTAGAAAGAAGGCCTAAGGCAACACAAGACTTCATGTATCCATTAGTTGAATGAGGCGAACTGAACTGAACTGAATTCTCCACTGAGAACTTTTGCACAAAAGGGGCGTAAGTTTAAGTTACCATACTCATGTGGCACACATAAAGACAGAAAAAAAAGGAGAAAAGAAATGTAAACAATGACTACGAACTGACATCGGTTAGAGGATCATTGGAAAACCAGCTGCGAGTACTGGTTAGCAGGTATTTCGTCCCACTTTCGGACACCTCATCAGTCCACACCCACTGGATTTCTAATCCAGAATCTTCCGGATACATGACAACCTCATAGACTAGTGTGACATGAACTCGAACTTCTGTCAATTCGCGATCTATACAGCACAACCGCCAGACAATAGCAGAGACGAGTAACTCATGTCTTAGTTGACTTGATAGATCCTACCACGTGTTAGGACCTCTCATTAGAACTTCAATTCTAACCAATACCAACTTCCCCGACCTACTCAATCTCACTTAGACAACTCAAATTTCACGTGAATTTATGGATGTGTGTTTTCAGAAGTGACAAGTGAGAAAACCACTCCAATTAAATGAAATAACTACAACAACAACGAACAAACAAACTCACCATAGCTGCTTCTCCATCAAGCCATGACATGAGATTATTCCCTCCAAATGATGAATCTTGTAATAACCATTCACCAGTGAATCCAAGCAATTGGCCTGTATAGACAATAGACGCTTTTCCAAGTGTTGATGGTGTTACAGGATATTCAACAACTGCACTATCATTGCTGCCTAGTGCATGAGTTAGAGCTTCTTGTAAGCCGAAACGCAACTGTTCAGAGGTTGGATTGAATAGCACACGAAGGAGAATATTTTCATTTAGGGCATATTCGAGAGTTAGACCATCTAAACAGAGAGAAAGAGAAAATACGATATGAAAGTCGAAAGAACACTTTTTTTTTTAAAAAAAAAAATGCGTACTAAAAACATTTTTAAAATATAATGCAATGAAATGATGTCATCATCAATTTCAATAACCTTAGACTCTACACGAGAATGTGTTTTCATGCAACAACGAAAATGTCCTTACAGTTTTAAAGAGAAAGACAAGAAGATTGAGAATAAATAATCCATTATGGGTAAAATTTATTTTGATAAAGTCTCACAGTGTTTGTTATATAGTAATGTATACTGATGACCATGTTAATGAGCACAATTCATTAATGGTCATCATCATATCAAGGCGCTACTCACTCACGTAACTTTCTAACTTCATTTATATAGTTCCATTATTTCCCATCGCTTGATTTGATCGGTAGTAGTATTTTCCATATTTCAGGGATGAGTGATGAATCATTCCTATTGCACGTACGTGTCGGGTGCAGACTCGATGAAGAAGGATTCAGTAATCAACCTCTGTCTATCTCCACCTATCTAGATTACTTTTTAGAATTTTAACCCTCTTCCAACATACTATTGTGAGGTTGTGTGTTAATGCATACAGTGCAGTTGCTGAGCTTTTTTCTAAATTACTTATTTTCTCGGGGTCAACCATTAGCTACCCTAGCTAAATTCTTATGTTCTGATAATCTGACTACCCCCACCCGATCTACTAGTTTGACCTTTATAGTTGACCTCACTGACAGTCATTGCAAGATATTTTGTAAATTATATTATTTTGTCTAATTGGGTCAATCTACAGGGTCCCTTAACCGACAGAACTCGTCCTACCTGAATTAGTCTGTAGGTTTGAATACCACCCTAATTCCTGCTTTTATTTAGAATCCTACGTAGGGTTTCAGATGCCCCCTCCTTATATGGTATAACAGTGGATGACTCATATTCTCTCTCTTATTTATGTTATCATTATTAGTTTCACCGTTAGCTTTATTTTGCTTTTGGCCTTTTTCGATCTTCCTAATGAATTTTAAAGGATAGTTAGTTATTTAACACCAACCAGCTATTCTTCTATCTGTTTTAGTTTATCATTTAGGTCGTTTTCTTGTACTACTGCTTGGTTAGTTAGTTAGTTAGACATTTCACTAAGCCTGCCTTCATAGACAGATAACGGATGAGAGGTATTAAAGTCTAAGTGTCTGTTGGGGTGCGTTGATTTTTTATAAACACTAGTGTGTAGTTTACCTTCTTCTATTCGTTTTATTTTACAATTTAACAGCATAGCTAATTCTCCTTGTTCATTTTCTGATTCAAATGTGAATTTTATTTCCTTCAATAGTGAGTTTATATGCGTCACGAAGCTAGAGATGTGGTCTGTTTTCAACACTGTAAGTGTGAACTGTGAAATACTACTACCAATCAAGTCAAGCAATGAAAAATAATGGAATTATATAAACGAAGTCAGAAAGTTGTGTGAGTGAGTAGCGCTTTGATATGATTACGTCAACGTGATGATGGTCGACCACAAAATGAATAAATATGAACAATAGAGACACAACAATTTGCGTTATTCGTCTCATCGAAAGACTGAGACACAAATTATTATCAGTATTATTCCCGTGGGTACCGAGTGGGACATATGACTTCAACAACCCATCTCCACTTTGTTCTATTGCCTATAGCCTTTTTTTGGCTGGCCCCACGATCGCCCAAAGTCTCTAATCTTCTCCTCAACAAATGATCTCCTTCGTGTCATCCTTGGACCTATATTCAACTCGTTTTTCCCCAATCTGGTTGGCAGCTTCATTACCAGAGCTCCCTTGTTGCTAATTCTTTATACCCAGTCATTCATGAAGCCCGGGAAGGCAGCTATACATAAAATTATGCAGCAGCCTATTCGAATTGCTTTTGGTGGCCCACACACACACACACACACATCAAGTCGTCTCTGAGCCATGCAGAGAAACACGCCTATTTCACGCCAATCTTTGTGCTCGGTGCAGTATAGTTCCAGAATGCTTTTCATATTAATGCCACTCTGTCTACATTGCCCTTCCACAGATGATAATGATGATGAAATGACTCTATGCTAACTGGTCTCACTTTGGAAATCTTCTGCACTCCACAGTATAAAGGAACAAAATTTTGGATTTTCAACACCAATGTGAAGTCAATCACTACTTCTTCTTTCTTTATGGATCAGAAACTTGGTCAACGGCGTCATGAAAAGCATTTCCAACAAGCCACTGCTTCCATCATCACTGGCTTCATATTTAACAGCAAATGGCAATCAAGGAAAAATTAGCAATAGGCGAGAACCTTTTGCTCAACACATATTTAGAAGCAAGTAGAGATGGATCGAACAATGCATGCTATGGGGAGACCGTCGGTTGACATCACACGGTCATGCCACTGCTCGAGTGGCACCCGAATATGAAATGAAGAGTTGAGTGTGGGTCAGATAGTGACATGGAGGAGAAGATGAGAGACTATACGCAATTGTGAGGTCAGACGAAATCTCAGTACCGATACAGAGGGCTAGTTTCGCATATGCCAGTTTACACCGTCTCTGGCTTAGTAGACGTGATATCCGGCTGGCTATCGAACAAAGGGCGGATGTACTGGTCAGCAGTCCACTCCGTCCTCCTTTATGTCCGTAAGATCTGGCCATTGAAATTGGAAGACATGAAAAAACTAGCTGTCGTTGATCAAAACTGCCTGCGTTCTATCTCCTGTGTAAAGAGCAATATTGAGGTTAGGCATCGGTCGAGTGCTAGGCAAGGAGAGGAAATCAATCGACGAGGTTGTGAAGTTACATCGACTGAGATGGTTAGAACATGTGTTACGTATGCCTAGTCATCGCCTTCCTCGACTGACAGGAGATGTTAGCTGATAAAGGGTCAGGCTGGAAAAGAGCTAGCGGCGATCAAACCAAAACATGGCGAGACCAGTCAATCAAATCTACAACAGCCAGTTTAATCCAAGTAGGAAACTGTAGACTTCCTAACTGGTTGGGGTCCCCGGGACGGTAAAAACCAATGGTTGGAAACAATTGGTGACATGGCTGGCTCAAAATCGTTGTTGTCAATGGCTGGCGCAGATGCATCCACTCCTTGTGACTTATGATTTCCAATGAAACTGTTTCGTTCTTCGATATTACTATTCCTTTGTCTCACACCTCTGTTTACTGCCTCTATTATGCATTTTTTCTACTTTCTTCCTCGCTGGCTTTGTGTGCTACATGGAGTGGAGTGTGGCGACTTGAACTGTCACACATATGTGCAGACAGCTAAAGACAATCACAGAAAATAGGACAAAGTAGGGATGTGTCCTCAGGCTTGAAGGCCCATGTACCACTTGGAACTCAAGTGAACAATACTGATAATAATAATAATAACAGAATTAAATGATTAATCTTACACACACACACACACACACACACAATCACACATACATACACCGGTTTTCCCCAATTGAACTACTTTTAATGCAGAAAATATTGCTAACCGAAAAAAACAATCGAATCAATGAAACAGACAGTAGATATGTATAAACATTAAAAAAAATATTGTCTATAGAGCGAATCGAAAAACAATTTTTATAAAAATGGCAAAACAGAATGATCATATATATATATATATAAAGAAGGAAAAGAGGCGTGCATTCATTTATGAACTAGTTATATATGATAAAACAAGTTGACAGAGAAAATGAGAGCGAGTGAGCGGGCGAGCCAGCCAGAGACACAGACAGAGTGTGTGTGTTTGGGGGGGCGGGGCGAGGAACTGCGAAAAGTAGTGATAACCGAAAAGAGAGAGAGAGAGAGAGCGGGTGAGAGGGACATTATCCATCCCTATAAAATAACAACTACAACACCAACAACAGAAAACTTATTCGAACGAGAGGTGAAACAAGAGTAAAAATAAAAATTTGTCGCGTACAAAAGTAAGTGGAGAATAGAGAGAAAAAGCATACAGATAGATAGGTAGATATATAGATGAATTCAGTTCTTCTCTCTCTCTCTCTCTCTCTGTGTGTGTACTGGCGCCAATCGCATGGAATTGGCAACACACACAACAACACAAGGTGAAAGTCGATAAACAGATTAGATAGATGGGTGAGGATGAATCAGATTGAAGACAAATAATAATGATGAATAAAAAAACTAAGTGTTTTTTTGTCTTCTTCAGTGAATCATAGTTACTCCAATTTGCTCTTAGTCTTCCGCCTATAATAAATGTTCTCACATTTTATTGTTATTACACAAAAACAAGAGATATAATAATAATAATAATAAGAGAAAGTGGGAAAAGGAAAGTGTATACGTGTATAAATCGAATGTATTTGATAATGAACAAAAACAAAACAGCACACGTACACACATACACACACAGGAACACACAAAGGATAATAACAATGATGATAATTATAGCAATATTAATCTATAGTATGTTTCCTACAAAATTCTTTACTCCTGCTTAGATGATGAAGTGATAACAAAATAATGGAAAGTAAATTGAAATCATGAGAGTAATGATAAACAGCTGTTTCGTCCTAGTTTAGCACTCTTTTTCAGCATGCACCGAAGACCTCAACAACAGAAAGACTTTATTCAAGTGTTGGTTTATAGGCATTTGATTGATTGGTTTCCGGATTTCATCATGAGCTGACACATTAGTTAGAGAGGCATTAGAAAACCAGCTGGGAGTACAGCACAGCCAGCTGTTTCCTCCGTCCTAGTTTGGGACTCTTCAGCAGTACGCACCCACCGCGAGGGCTCGAACCCAGGACCTTCTGGTTACAAGGTGAGCTAGTTCGTAGACCATTAAGCCACCCGGACCCGATCCAGCGGCCCCTGAATTCTAACTTCTACCAATTCACGATATAGCGCGATCCTTAGCCAATGTCTTCGGCGAGTATTTGTCCTATCACACCCAACCGGCTGCACCCTACTGGTCACGACTTTTCACTAACACTAGACTTTAACTGAATTTCAACTCAGTAACCGA